AGGCTATAAAGTTGACAGAAGAATTGATTGAGAGATCTGTTCGTGGCTTAGTAACACTGCTGCAGGAGACGCGGCGCTGGCTTCGCAGTGCGCAGCAGACAGTAGTTAATCAGCGGCCGCTGGCACGACTGCAGAACCCTAAGAGTCAGGCAGTGTACGCTAGCTATATAGTCCGATTTATCTGCTTTTATCTTCGCATTATTGCAGATGAAGAGCGTTAGGTAGATTGGTATCTGGCACAGAGGGATAGAGCTGTAGACGCTGACGCGGACAGCGCAAGCGATGAGGAGGCTGGCACAGAGAGCGAGTACAACGACAGCGACATAGAGGGCATAGTTAATAGCAACAACGACGTGGTAGTGCCGCAGCGACAGCCGCGCAGCGCTGTACTGGCTGATAAGATAAAGGATACCCGTAAGCTGTTTAAGTAGAAGGACAATTAGAAGGCGCTAGTAAGATAGCTATTGCTTTTACTAGGCGACGGCAACATAGCTGCGTAGATAGAGGCGCTGCTTGACTCGCTAGCTTCGTTTCTTCTTACAGGCTATGGCACAGATAAGTTTTCGAGTGGGTTAGTGCAGTATCTAGCTATGCTAGGCATAGACACACGGATAAACCGCTTACGTATGGTAAAGAATTTCTTGTATATACTCGCTAGGGTTATCTACTACGTTCGTATACTAGCAGTCAAAAAGATATTACCCGCAGCTGAGCGCGAGGATTAGACTAAAGAGGACTAGGAGCAGTTCTTAGATGTGCGTAAGAAGTATCTGGTAGACGGCTTATTCAGCCTAATAAGTGCTATAATTAGTCTACTTACGTATAGCAAGTATGCAGCGCTAAATAAAGGCAATGCTAGTAACGCGTACTAGTCGCCTGATAAGAAGATTTTTTATCTTAGCGGCCAGCTAATTGTGATTAAGCGTTTCCGCATTATGGCTCAGAGCATAGAAGCTAAGCTAGAAGACAAGTTTTGGTAGCTATGCTAGGTAGATAATACTGCTGAATGGTTTTTTATTAATCTTATAACGTATCTGTATAGCGAGTGGCTCAGTATAGCGAGTGGCTCACGGTGCCAAGACCACACCAAAATCACGACTATTACATGACTATTACAAC